TCAGATGGAAAAGTCTAGTAGTCCTTGGGATACAGCAGCAAAGTAATAGTAATGCCTAATTAGGCTCTTAGACTTACTTGCCTATCAGTATCAGTCTCCAGTTGGCAGCTGGAATGGCCCTCTGCTTCTACAAGGTTTGCTCCCCTGGACTATGACTGTAGTGGCTGGGCTGAAAGCAAGTCCTGTGGTTTGGGTAGGTGCTGCTATTTCCAGGGCTTCCCTGCCAGCCATTGGAAGATGGTTAGTGTTTGTGGAGGAAATGGTGGACTTGTCTTTAACAGGGTTAACAGTAGTGCCAAGTCTTCCTCTCTACCCTTTGACTGACACAATCATTGATGTGATGGGAGATTTGCCCTAAATCACCAGAATTTGGAGGGCACAAGTTTAAAATTGATGACATTAAAAAATTGTTTAATTTTTAAGGCTTGTTATATTTGTTTTATTAGTGCTTTCATTTCTTCTGCAGTGAAGAAAACATCTAGCAAGAACAATTAGTTAAACCAGGAAGTTATTAGATGCTTTCTTCTGGTGTCTTGGGGTCTCCTCAACATGACCAGTGGTGGATAATCTCATCCATGGGGGTAGGGGATGGTATATCAGGGTCTTTTGTCACATGGTTAAATTGAGTGCGCCATAATTGCGACTTAGCACTCTCCCTCTTTGCGTCAGAGACTTTATGCACTATTTTGCTCAACATGTTAGAAATCTTTCTGATGTCCCATCAAAACAAACTCTTGAACTCTGACTTTTTCTTCAACTTTTATTGCCTTCACCTCTAATCTACTTCAGTGGTTTATTAGGGTGGCTACCCACTAGATTTCATTATCCCTCAAAATTGTTCCACTCCTCAAATTCTAAACTTTGAAATTCCCTTTCCTGAGCACAATCTTGTGACTCTATCTCCCTGTTTTCTTCCCCTCCAATCCCTCTCCTTCTTATGACTTCTAACTACCCAATTTCTTTCTATTGTAGCAGTATATCATCCAGTATATTGACCTCAATCTCACCTAATTTTTGTCCCCAACCAATTTTGACATCACTGTATGCAATTTCAGGATTGCCCACTTCTCCACCTTCACATTATTGTGCTCTGCTGTTACTATCCCACTAACTCTCAATAACAATAGTTAATATTTATTTTATGACAATATTTATAATATAATATGTGTTATAAATATAGTATATTATTATATATAATTTTTTTGGTTACTCAGTTGTATTCAACTCTTTGTAACTTCATTTGAGTATTTATTTTTTTTTGGCAGAGATACTAGAGTGGTTTGCCATTTCCTTTTCCAGTAGATTAAGGCAAACAGAGGTTAGGTGACTTGCCCAGGGTCACACAGCTTGTCAGTGTCTGAGGCCAGATTTGGACTGAGTTCTTCCTGACTTACAGGCCCATTGCTCTATCCACTGAACTACCTAGCTGCCTCCTATAATATACAATAGATAACATTTATATTACAGCAATAATAAAAGTGTTTTATAAACATTTTCTCATTTGATCTTCACAACTCTGTAAGTGATATTATTATCCTCATTTTAAAGCTGCAGAAACTGAGGCAGAGAGAGGTTAAGTTCAGGGTTACACTTAAACCTGAGGCCAGATTTAAACTCAAGTCTTCCTTATTCCAAATTTAATACTTCATTCACTGTACCACCTAGATGCTTCACCCTCATTAAGCTCATGTGTTCCTTCTCCAGATGCTAAATGGTACTGCGGGAAATCAGAAAATCCTGTTTACTAGATCCACTATGAACTCACACAGTCTAACTACAAAATCACACTAATCTAACTATTCCATAGTAATTTTTCCATTTGTCTCTTAATAACTTTTGATGTTTCAAAGGTACAAACCTCCAACTCCATTTCCTCTCTACCCCTTCTCAGTAGATGACTTCACCTCCTTCTGAGAAGACGGAGGCCATTTCTTGGGAACTCCTTCAATTTACTTCCTAAACATCTCTTAATCTCTCAGTGTCCTCATCAATTTTCTCATTTTTCTTTCATGTTATATTCATTAGTTGACTTTTTTCTTTAATCAAAATGTTTGAAAATTTTTTAATCTCAATTTTGATTGCATCGGCTTTTGGAAATTGTGTGATCTTCCTTGCAAGAAAAAATCTTAGGTAAATTAAGTCCTGTTTTCTTTCTTATTAATTCTTGCTCTGTTAACTTATAAAATGCCAAAATTTAAACATAGTAATGTGATTCTTAATGAGTAAAAGCTTCAAAAGAAGAATGTTACTTAGGAGTCTAAAAAATCCATCACAAAATAATTTGCTCCTGTAAATTATAGCTTTCAATCATTTACTCCTTTTTACATATTAATAAATATATACATATGTTTTTAAAATGTACTATATATAAAATAGTAAAACTGACTTTCTTTAAATATATTCTACAATTTTGACTTCCTACTGCATTCCAAAGAAATAATGGTGTATTGAACTTATGAACAAGACCTACTCATTTTGTATGTTTCTGTATGTACTTACATGTGTCTGTGCATACTATGTATGGATTCCAAAATGTTAAAGGTCCACATTGTGAATTGGAAGATATAGTTATATCATGAAAAATGCACATATTTTCTTAACAGATACTTCAGTGGACTTCCGATTTCATGGATGTTTGTATCCCTTGTGCAAATCACAACTCTTCTATGCCTTCTCATCTTAAGAGAATGTTGTCATGACTTTCCATAAATCTTCCATACAAGGGTTCACCCAGCTTGTTAGAGGCCTTCTTCTAAACCTCTTGCTATTGCACGGATACCATTTGAATACACTGACTTTCCATCGTTTGCTCTTACCACACAACCAGCTCATGTCCCTTTCTGGTTATATAGCTCTCTGATGGAATGCCTTACACTGCTTCTCCTGAGCAATTCACTGTGATTTTTTTTTTGTCTTTGTATACCCAGAATGCAGAATAATATTTTAAAAATCTTTTATCAGATTAAGTAGTAAAATGCTGCAATCTATTCATGGCCACCATGTGTTTCTCCAATAACCTTTGGGTGACATAACATTTTTTTCAGAGACTTTCATTCTATGACTTGCATCTATACAGTATTGCTAAAAGCATATTGATGATTAAAAAGATAAGTCTCTATTTCAGGGAGAAGCTTGGAGTCATTAAAACAACCAAATATAATGTAGCACATTCTCTTCTTCCTCTTCAATTCAATTCCCATGCATTGTGCACTTGGACAGTGTCTGTCCAAAATACATACCAGTGGACCATTTCTACGGGCTCTCTATCCAACTACTTATCCTAGTCTGAACAGTAGGCATTTTTCATCCACTTAAGTTTTTTAATGTGCGGATAGTTAGGCATAACTGTTTTGTGTGACAATGGATCTTACTTCAGAGTCTCCATGATGGACCAGGGCTTTAGTGAATCAGTCCAGTATCATTTACAAACAGGAGCATCAGGAGACTGCTGTATTTGTAGGAAATATCTCTTTCATTTGGACTATGTGGTACATGACAATGGCAAGTACCTTTGGTGAACATGTACCTTTGTTTTATGCTTTGCTTGATATTAGTAATTAGAGAAGCATCAAACAGAATTATCAGAATTGTTACATCTTGATATTTTGACACGTGTGAAAAGCACCTTGTTGTAGGAGAGTCTTTAAGATGATTCTTTGCTCTCTCAAATAAAATGCTTTTTTATAGCCAACAAACAATAATAAGCACAGTGGAATTTTCTTCCATCAATCATATGACTATAAAATGTGTTTAGCTATAAACTATCATGTGTGAAAACATGCCTCTTTAGCACACAGTCATAAAGGATGCCTAATATATATGTACAGATTATTTTCATATTTTCCCAATTAATAATACTGTAACCTTTATATTAGAGTGATTTCCCAAAATATAACCCTCCTCTCCATTGTACCAGACTTAACCACCATATCAACTTCATCAGGAAGTATCTCCACCACTTTATACTCATTGCCCTTTCCTCCTCTAATGAGGAGAAAGAATATGTATCTTCCTTCTTTTTAAAAAAATTGTGAGATTAATAATTGCAATAAATCTGAATTTGACAGCATTTTGGTGGTGTTTTAATTTACATTGTTGTAGTCAGTATTTTGCTTTTTTGGTTAAAATATCTTCTTTACTCTTTATCAGTTCATATAAATCTTCCTATATTTCTCTGTATTCCTCATATTTGAGATTTCTTATGGAATGATAATATAATCTTACCCACATTTACTACAGTCTGTTAGCCATTCTTCAGCCAATGAGCATCCACTTTACTTCCAGCTTTTTGCTCCAACAAAGTGTGCTGCTATGAACTTCCTTGGGGCATATGTCGACTAGTGGAGATAAGAAAGTAGGTAAGCAGAGTGGTAGTGATTGCTTTTCTCTTGATCATATTTCTTTTTTCAGTAATAATAAAATCAATGATTTTTCCCAGACTCTTATCTCCTCTTTTTGTCAGATATCTTAAGAATCAATCCAATGATGTCCTCAAAAGTATGTTACTTCCAATATGTACTTTCTATGTATGCACTTGGTGCATACATAATTTAGATGCTCTTCACATCTTTTTTTTTTCTTTAGTCACATTTCTATTTAATCATGTAGTATATTGGGAATTATGATGTTTTAGTACCATGATGTCGTTCAACTGTCATTTGATAGAGAAAAGAATTTGTTATGAAAGTCTCATCTAACTACCAAGGTGGGATTCTTTAGCAAGGTTAGATAATGGCAGCATCACTTGTATACTCTGGGAGTGTCACATTCTCAATTGAAGCTCACCATCTCAGTTACTGTACCTGAAGGGCTTTTTTCTTCCTGTACCCTCCAAAATATTTCCATACTGGGTGCTGTCTTTTTCTCCCAGTGTAGCTTTTCTATAGAGGCGACTTGTGACATCCTAGGAATATACTTATGAATCCCAAATAAATTCTGGTAAAATTCAGAAGCAGTAGTGCCTCTATTTAATTTTCCAAAATTTCCTGGTTCCACTCCCATCTTAGCTCCTGTTGAGCATTACATCTCTGCTAGAAAAAGTATTTCCCTATAACCCTTCCCAAACTCAAATATTAATCAAATAAAGGTCAAATTACTAGTAAATGATTTTTTAATAGTAGGTATCAACATGGTAGACCACAGACTATCAGAGTTTGTGCTCCACTACCATAATCTTCAAGAAATGAAGTTTTCCTCCATCTATGATGAAGCAGCAATGGAGCAGAATGAATAGTTTGCGTGAGAGGAAGAGGGAGCCTGCAATTGGAGAAGATATGAGAGAGAGAAATTAGAGAAACACAAAATATCTTTGATTTGCCTTTATTGGCATTTTCAAATGAGATCATATTTGGAAAAAGCACTTAGCACTGTACCTAGCACATAAGTAAGTTCTATATAATTGCTTATTCCTTTTTCCTCCCCTCCCCATTGCTTTATGAAAGAATGTGAACAATCTAAAGATGGTTAGTGTTTTCCAGATATCCAGTTTCATTATCCCCCTAAAATTAAATTAGATTTTGAAGGAAAACATTATTTGAATAGCAATTACTGCCTTCTGCAAGGCAATAATGTAGATAGATTCCTTGTCAGCATGTCTTTTCTCTTAGAAGTGGTACTAAAACACTGAATCTGTCACTCTGGAGTGGGAATCCCAGCAGTTGGCCCTAAAGTACTCTCCTAAATGTATACAAAGTTCTGAACTGACTTGCTTGAACTTCTCAGGTTTACAAGAAGTTGAGAAGTCATCTCTGCATGCAAACTTATTTTCAATGGCTCATGAGCCTGATCTTCCATGTACAAGATTTTTGGTGCTGCCTGTTCCCAGTTAAAATCATTTTTCAGCTTCTGTTTATTTGATTTTCTTTTTACAAAAATCTCCATTTACATTTCTGACTGTAAAATAAAACTATTTCAAAATGACTTGTGCCCTTAGGGGGAAAATAATCTGAACTAGTCAAAATTGCACTGTTATTTTAAGGAGCAATATACCAAGGGAGTTGGGGGTGGAAGGAGCCCTTCAGTGATCACAATCTTTCATCAAAGGTTCAGGACAAAACTTTTCATTTTCCTGGACTATTGTATTCACAAAAGTCTTTTAAATAATCCCTTCCTTTACTGAAAGATATTGAGGAACACACAGTAAACTCACCATTTTCTGGCATGTCTATTAAATGAGGCATTCAGACTGAGAGGCCACTCAGTTTAACAGAAAAAGGATTGAACTTGAAATCTGAAGACCTGAGGTCTGAGTACCATTGCTTTCTAACTGTAGGCATACCTCAGAGATATTGCAGGTTTGGTTCCAGACCACTGCAATAAAGCAAATATCACAATACAGTGAGTTATACAATTTTTTTTGTTTCCCAGTGCATATAAAAGTTATGTTTACATGATACCATGGTCTATTAAGTGTGCAATAGCATTATGTCTAAAAAAAATCCTGATGTACAAACCTTAGTTAAAAAATACTTTATTGATAAAAAATGCTAACCACCTTCTGAGCCTTCAGTGAGTGGTAATCATTTTGCTGGTGGAGGGCCTTGCCTTGATGTTGATGGCTGCTGACTGATCAGGGTGGTGGTTGCTGAAGATTGGGGTGTCTGTGGCAATCTGTTAAAATAAGACAACAGTGAAGTTTGCCACATGAATTGACTCTTCATTTCACTTGAACACTTAGAGACCACTGAAGGATTGTTAATTGGCCTAATACTGTTGTGTCTCAGGGAATAGGGAGGCCCAAGGAGAGGGAAAGAGATGGGGAACTGGAGGTCAGTGGAACAATAAAGACAGCACGTATTGCTTAACTTCACCATCTTCTATGGGTGCTGTTTGTGGTGCCCCAAAACAGTTACCATTATAACAGAGATCAATGATTACGGATCACCATAACAGATAAAATGATAATGAAAAAAATTTGAAATATTGCGAGAATTACCAAAATGGGATACAGAGACATGATGTGAGTACATGCTGCTGGAAAAAATGGCATAGACAGATTTGCTTGACACAGAGTTGCCACAAACCTTCAGTTTGTGAAAAAACAAAAAAACAAAAAACCCCCTGCAATATCTGCAAAGTGAAGCACAATAAAATGAGCTATGCCTTTGTGTGCTTTTCTTTATATCCCTAGAACTTAGCACAGTGCCTGGCACAAAGCAAGTGCTTAACAAATGCCTGTCAAGTGACTATTAACCAATTGACTGTGGGCACATTCCTTTGACCTCTCTGAGCCTCAGTTTCCTCCTTTGGTAAAATACAGTCATCTGACCATGTCATTTCCTTACTTCAAGAATGTCCAGTGGCTCCCTCTTGCTCTTAAGATGAAATACAAATTCCTTTATTTTGCTTTAAAGTCCTTCATAATCTGATTCTACCCTACCTTTCCAGTTTTGCTGTACATTACTATCCTTGTTCTAACCAAATTGGCTTATTTGTTCTTCTTCAAATGACATTCCTGATGAGGTCTAGAGGTTTAGGGGTGCTGGGACCCCGAAATCACGACACATGGGTTCTGCCTGAATGAATTTGACCCAAGCATTCTTTCAGCCGGAGACAAGGTTTATTAAAGATCCACCACATTGGTCAGACTCCTAAACAGAGTCTAAACATTTGTAAGCTATTGGCTAGGTTCTTAAAGAATCTGAGCACCTTAATGGAGACAAGATGGACCTTTTATACAGAAGGACTTGGGAGGGATCTAGGAAGAATCTGAATTGGAGTGGCCAGTAAGCTAGGGTGAACAGAATGCCAGGGACCTGGCCAAGGAAGAATGGAGTCTAGATAGGGTCAAGGGTGGGAAATAGCCAGGGGGCATAGGGAGGTAAGACAATGGAGGACTAGTCTAGGTTGAGGTAACAGGGAATTGGGAGATTGGGCTAGGCAATAATGAAAGGCCAATTGATAGGATTATAGCCTCAGATGACTGCCAGAGACCTCCTTGATCAAATGGGAGAATTCTAGGAGAATCCCTTAGACTAATGGGACCCAAATTCTTTTTGGGGTAAAGGGCAAAGGTCTCACCTTGGGCCAGTACCTCATTATTCTCACACCCATCTCTGTCCTCACTTCCCCTCTCCTCCCATGTTCTCCCTCCTAGTCTTCCTCATCTCTACATAATAGATTTCCAACTTCTTTTAAAACTCAATTTAAGTGCTATTCCTACAGGAAGTTCATCCTAATGCCTGGTCTTCCCATATTACTGCTCTCCCCACTCAGAAATTATTTTCCATTTGTTTTTCCTTTACTTTTCTGTGTACAATTTGCTCCCCATCACTCCCTATGGAATGTAAATTCCTTAAGGTAGAGATTGTTTCATTTTTTCTTTGTATCCTCAGTGGCTAACACAATGCCTAGTAGTCATTTAATAAATGCTCATTGAATGACAGTTGAATGAAGGTGGGGGGAGGGAGAATAATTCTTGCACTCTACCTTAGAAGATAGTTTTGTGGAAATTGCATTGCAAATTCCAACACTTCTAAAACCATGGCAATTCTGTTGAATGTTGTTCTTTGTCCTTTGTTTTGAAGAGGACCAGTGACATCACAGAGTGATGTCTCAACTTGAATGAATTGGATTTAGGTGAGACAGAGTTGCAAAAAGTTGCCAATCTCACTATCTCTTCCAGAGTCATCAGTGGCAAGACCAAAGTCAGGATGCAGTAGATGACCTTGGCATCTTTGATGTCTGACCAAACTCTGAGTGGTCCACATCTTCTGGTTCAGCTGCTTTCATGGCAGTTGGAACAAATTGTTCTCATTCAATCCAGGGGAAGTCTTCACATGTTTAGGGTAGATACTCCCCTAACCCACCAATGGGTTCATGGCCTGTCAGTCAGCCTCAAACTGGTTTAATTTGTCTGCCAAGACACTTACCAGGATGTGGCTACTGTATGTGCTACAGCTTCTTGGAGCTACAGGTGAGAGCTGGGTGGCAAGTGGACAGCTAAGGTGAATAAGTAGCCCTGAAAAATGCTTGGCAAACCCTTACCCCAGAGGTGCTAGCCCTCCTTGAACACCCATACCCCCAAAATGAATACACTGTTGAATGAAGGAAGGAATAAAGCATTTATTAAGTACTTATTATATGCAAAGCACTGTGCTAAGTGTTGGAGATTCAAATAGAAAAGTAAAACAGTCCCTGCTCTCAAGTAGCTCACATTCTAATGGGGGAAACAACACATATTGAAGGGTATAAGGTGCAAGTCAAATGGAAAGATCCCATGGTCCTTACTGTGTAGTGGTAAAACAGATATATTAGTACTTTTTCTTCAATGTTATTTCCATTGATAAAATCATTTCAGTTTCTCATGTTGAACTATTTGATAGTGCCAAAGATTATTAGTAGTTAATGTTTAAAAAGTTATTATTTTTTGGAAGAGACCCATGATTTCATTGGCAATTGACCTGTAATTTCTAGTCTTAGAGAATTGCCTGGGGCACTAAAACATTAAGTGATTTGCCTAAGGTCCAGCTGATTAATAAAAATCAATTTCTTGTCAAATCAATAAAATAGAAAATCAATTTCACTTTCTACTCTTCAATGCCAATAGTTAACCTTACAAGAACTCTGATATAAACAAAGTAAAAGGATGGGTAATACTTATCATCAAATAGTTAACTCTTAGTGAGGGTGATCTAGTACAGTGGTATCAGAGCATCTGGGTTCAAATCCAGACTCTCATTTATGAATTTTGTGACATTGGGCAAGCTAACAAGTCTCTCTGGTCCTTTTTTAAAAAAATTTGTTTTTGTTTTTTGTTTGTTGTTATTGTTGTTGTTGTTTTTGCTTTTTGCTAGGCAGTCAGGGTTAAGTGACTTGCCCAGGGTCACACACCTAGTAGGTGTTGTGTGTTGTGTGTCTGAGACCGGTTTTGAACTCAGGTCCTCCTGACTCCAAGGCCAAAGCTCTATCCACTGCGCCACCTAGCTGCCCTTTTTTTTTAATCTGTGAAATGAAGAAGTTAGATTATTTTACCTCCAGCTCAACATCTATGATCCTTCAGATGCCTTTTTCTGTTAACATTTTGTTATATCCAGTATGCTGATGCTACTCAAATATTTAACCTAGGGCATGCAGACCAATTTGCTTCCCTATTTTGTTGATATTTCCAAAAGTACCCAAAATATGCATTGCTTAAAATGTTTATACACACACACCCATATATGTATGTATGTATGTATATATGTACATACACACACATACACTTTTCAGAAACGGTTTCATTAAATGTGGCAATTAGGGCATATATCAAATAATATTTTGCAGATATAAAATTTAGTCCCTGGGAGAAGGATGTAATTTACCAGCAAAGCCAGAGAAAGAATATAGTAATTAGTTTCCCACAAATGCCTTTGTTACCAGTGAAATTTAGATTCACAGGATAAGCCAGGCTAAGTAATACACATAGAATGTGATGATGTCTTTTTCTCCCACTGAGCTGATTTAAAATTCAAATTAATTTGATTGGATTGTTCTGTACACTTATTTAATGACGTATAGTGTGCTGTCTTAGGAATCTTCACCATGCGAGGGAGTGTAATTGATGGGTATTGTTGGAATGTCCCATAGAAAAAGTGCACATCAACCAGACATACTGCAATGGCTCAATATGACCCACTTTATGCTACAATTTCCATCAACCAGACTGATCTCCAGCATAAATAAGGAAGCTTCTGTGCTTTTTGGAGACTAGGAACTGACCTGGTGTTTACCTGTGTATTACTCTTCATAGCAGTTACAAAAAGAGACTAGCTGGCTAATAAGAGTCCCCTGGTATGCAGTTATCTAAGGGTACTTAGAAAATTTGATTGTTGTCTATAAAAGGAATTGCTGAAAAGGGGATTTAGGAAAATAATCTCTCACAAAGAAAAGTCTGGTGTTCCAGCCTTGTACCTCACCCAGAACCAGCTGGGGTTGCCTAGAATAGAGACAGGACTTCCCTGAAATGCTTCTTCATTTTGGTTGGGAGGAGCTACGCTCTTGGCCAATTTTGGAGGGGTCCTGGTAACCTTATGTGGGATTTCTGATTATCCTGGAATAAAAATAATTCCTTTTTTCCTCCTGCAATATGTTCTTGGAAATTGTAGCATAAAATGGGTCATATTGAGCCATTGGAGTATGTCAACCTTCAGAGTTTGGTCTAAGAAAGACAAACTGAATTAGATTGTACCTGTGTTTATTTCTCTCAAAGTGGGTGGCGTGTGTGCATCCAAGCATGGGAGCTGCAGTTTGGAACTGAGATCACTTTCACGTTAGGGTGCACAGTTCATATACCTTTCAATAGGGGCTGATGTTCTTCCATCATCTTTTCACCCCTGGACAGAGAAAATATCTCTATACCAGACCACTTCCAGCCTTGGGCTAGCTAGACAAAAGAATCTGTCTTCACCCAAGCTTGAGTAGAACACAATGGACTTCCCTACTTTAGATTAAATTACTTGCAAACTTGGGTAGGAGGAGCTGACCAGGATAAGGGGAGTCAATGCAATTTCATTATCAGTAATGTGCTTCTGGAGAAAAACTGAATTTAAAGTGAGGACTTTGGTAGAAGAGGGTGGCTTGGGGGGGGAGGAAAGCTCTGAATCTCCAAGATATTTGTTATTAAATAATTT